TAGATAATAAACATACGACAAGGAGTACAACTTCATTAGTCTTCTGAGAAATGACAATTAAAATCACAATGAGATATTACTACATACCACTCACCAGAATGGCTATAATTAAAAAGAGTGATAATAACAAGTATTAGCAAGGATGTGGAACAACTAGAATTCTCATGCATTGCTGGTGGGAATGTAAATTGGTACAACCACTTAGAAAAACTGTCATTATCAAAAAATTTGAAAATATGTATTCCCTATGACCCAGAAATTCCAATCCTAGGTATACACCCAATAGAAATTCAAGTATGTATAACCAAAAGACATGTATGATAACATTGATAGCATCATTATTTATAATAACCCTAAGCAAGAAACAATCCAAATATTATTAGCAGAATGAATAAATCAACTGTGATATATTCAAACAAGGAAATAATATACAAAAATACAAATAAAACAATACAGTTACATGCAACAACATGATGGATATCACAAACATAGTGTTGAGCAAAAAAAAAAACAGACCTCCAAAAATACATACTGTTTGATTTCATTAATATCAAGTTCAAAATGGGCAAAACTAATCTATAATATTAGAAGTCAGGATAGTCATTAACTATGGAGGAGGATGGTATAGTGATAGGGATGGAGCATAAGGTGAGGGTTGTGAGATGCTAGTTCTATTTCTTGACGTGGGTTCTGATAACATTAGTATGTTCACTTTGTAATAATTCATCAAGTTGTACAATTACAATTTGTGATGTTTTCTGTATGTATACTTCGATAGAAAATGAAAAAACAAGAAAAGAAATGAAGAGCTAAGTGATGAATATTTATAGAATAGTCAGATAAAAATGGTCCTATATGAGAGCCACCCTGCAGGCAAAGCAAGTGGTTTCTCTTGGTAATGTTCTTGGGGATTAAATGGCTTCAGAAGTTCTCTAGTATAAAAATATCTTCCTATAAGGTAGTTACAGATAAATTACACATTATTTTTCACAAGATCTAAGAGAGAAAGAGAGAGATGAGACCTAAAAGCAAACAAAACAAAACATCAAACAATATATTACAGAAAGCTTTTTGCACCATCTTAGAGGTAATGCGGTTAGGACTCTTCTCCATTTCACTTTCTAATGATTCTAGAAACCAGTGAAACATTGCCAATGGAACTATTTACTCACCTAAGCATAGCTGACAATTCACAGGCTTAGCAAGACCTGAGGAAAACAGGCCTGTTACATAAAGAGAAAATGTCTTTGTTTTACATAAACATCTCCAAAGACCCAAAAGAATATTCAACTCAACAAGTATTTAAGTACTCTAACTATAACTAGCACTGTGTCAGGTATTGTGGAAAAAGACAAAAAAGAAGGCAGATTTATGAGGTGCTCTAATATAAAGACACACAATTTATTAAACACAACAACAGCAATAACAACTAGAGAATGATTCCAAGTCAGGATATGGTGAGTGGCTTATAGAATTAGAGTTAGTGAGAGAGAAAATGGGATAGGTATGGAGTCAGTTTATCAAAAGCCTTGAATGTCACACTGAAAAGTCTAGATTTAAGTCTATAGGGGCCAGCCCTGTGGCTTAGCAGTTAAGTGCAAGCGCTCCGCTACTGGCAGCCTGGGTTCGGATCCCAGGCACACACTGATGCACAGCTTATCCGGCCATGCTGAGGCGGCGTCCCACATACAGCAACTAGAGGGATGTGCAACTATGACATACAACTATCTACTGGGGCTTTGGGAAGAAAAAGGGAAAAAATAAATAAATCTATAGAAAACTATTTTAGCTGGATCCCAGTCCCCTAAAAAATTCTCGCATTTAATGATTCCTAGTTATTTTCTTGATCAACAGCCTTAATAAATAACGTCAAATCTGGATATACTAATGTTCTATTTAGTTAAACCAAGAGATGTTTTGTGGAAAGTTAAGGTTGACTTCTATGACATCACCTCAGATAATTAGGAACATATTCCAAATATCCCCAACAGTCCCAAACAAACCCGTATTAATCTACCCATCCAACTTTTTCTAAATACTTCTTAAACCTTAAGAAGAGGTTTCAGTTTAGATTATCTCTTGGGGCAATAATTTGAATGAGATACTACATTTCTTTGCCTCCCCCCCCCAAATAATCTTTCAAGCATTAAAAGATATGTAATACCTAACATAGTGTCTGGCTCATCACAGACTTTCTATTTATTGAACTAGATTGTTAAATTACACCAATATATTAACCTTACTCATCTCTCTCATGATTTGGTAGACCTTGATCATATCCCTGCCTCAACCTCTCTCTCTCCAGACTGAAAAAACAACTAGAAAGGCCTTCCATCCTTTTGATCAATTTAATTGGGTTTCTGGGGACTTTCATCAGCTGTTAGGTTTTTCTTGAGGAGCAGCCACCAGAATTTTCTATATAATTGTGGATGCAAATCCACTTTTGGTCTTTTACATGGAAAAGATAAGGGTTTTGTTTTGTTGTTGTTTTCAACACCCTTCCAGATGATGTCCGCCATATTCTGGGCTTTGAGAACTACAATTACAACTGGGTCAACTTCTTCACAGAATGATCAACAGGGACTTTTATTTTTATTTTTTTTTACTCTAACAATCATATTATGTATTGTCTAACTCAGAGACTGATGAGCTATACCTAGCTTTTGAGATCATCTCCAGTGAGTATCTAGATAAATCTACAGGTACTTAGCTACTCCAGGTGAAGGGGACAGTTATGATTCCAGAACATCCAAAGTGACGCTCTCACTTTTTATCATCAGCAACTGTGTCTCCTCTGGGAAGGCTTTTCTAACAATTCACTGGGAAAACTTTGCTGATCTCTCTGCTTGGTATCCTGAGTGACCTAATTTCCTTCTGTATCCTGTTTTAGAAGTTTTTAAATTGAGGAATGACATACATACATCTTCATTGATTTCCAGATCCCTTTCTTAAGTCATAACTGAGCCATCATCTCATAAGCATGGATAGGTTTGCATGACCTTATACAATGAAATGCCTCTGACCGTTCTGCCCAGTTGGTCTCATGAGATCTTCCCGCAATTTATTCTCATCAATTTGTCTTCACTCCTTGCAGATAAACTGATGAGAAACCTGAATGTTCTGCCCACTGAAGGATGTATATTTTATCTTTCTTCCTCTCCATCTAAGAGTTGTTGTAACAGCAGCTGTTTGTGTTGAAAAACTCAAATATAAAAATATGACCTATGTGGCCAAATCCCACAAGGCTGTTTATTTTCTTATTTATGAATCAGAATCTGTTGGCATAACTTAGAATCTTGACTGTCAGCATATACTGAAATTAAATGTCACTGCAAAGCCAGCAGAGGGTGCACCAGGGCACTAGAAATTTTACCCAAGGTGTAGCAGTATCAGTTTATCTCTAATAGCTGATCAACTTTTCCTTTTTTTTGTTTTTTTGGTATGCTAAAACTAATATCCTCAAGATAAACTTAAGTTGAATCTGGGCTAAAATTTCTTCAAAGCATACTCCAATTCTCCTGAAAGCGAAATTCAGGAAGAATAAGGATACATGGTTAAACTTAGTCTGGCCAAAATGTAGGTAAAGTAGCAGAAAATGATGCAGATCTGAGCCTTCTACTTTGTAAAAATTCTACTATGGAGCTGCACCCTATTCCTTCCAAAAAGGCTCCAGGAGATAGTATGCTATAGGGGAATGGGCACTGATCTGGAAGTCAAGATACCAACTTCCATTCTAATTTTGACAATAGTTGTATGACCTTGGACAAGTCACTTCCCCCTCAGGGCAAGGGGATCAAACAAAACAGACTCATGTGGCCCCTCACAATTCTAAAAATTTCTGACTCCGATTGATGTCAACAAATGTAAAGAGCCAGTATGCTTGCGTCTACTGCTCAAAAAAATTAAAACAAAGAATAAAGGATAGACAATAGAGAGCTGTATTTAAACCAAGACAGAACTATTTGAAGTGCCATGCAAAAGACAGGTAACTAAATGCCATTATAGACCTGTGAGAGTCTCACACCATCACAGAAGCCCTAGACTACAATTGTCCTGCTAATCTTCAGTCCATAAACATGGGTCTGTCTATTCTGAATGCCAAAAAGCCTTGGCCATCATTTGACTAAGGAAGTTCAATTCCTTCATCTTTTCACAGAATATTAATGTTCAGCTGCTAAGTATCTCTACTGGGCATTGTTGGGGGAGGAGGGGGTTGATAGATAAAGGGAGCCAGAATCCTAGTTAATTATCATTTAGCTACAGTGTTTAAAGTTTCAAGTATGAGAAGCATGTCTACTGATTCTCTTCTTTGATAGGCTGTTATATAAGTTGGAGTGTGCTAGCAAGACATTTTAAGGCTCAGGGCAACTTTACAATGCACAATGTAGAAAATGTGTGAGTCCTAACATTACAGTATTATCATGAATGTGATAGCAGCTTTGAATGGGTGGTCAAGGTAGCACAAATAATGTTTGCAGAGTATGACAATGATTCTGGATGTGGTAGAAAATATAGAAGGCCTGGGTCCCTGACCTCAAGGAAATTATTTGCACAACATGCCCTCTTCCCCAAGAGGAACAAATTCACTATTATTCTTTAACCACCTCAAAAGGATTCTCAGATGCTTCACTTAAGTTTCACATAAGACAAAATATGGCAGTCAAGAGAATACTTATTTTAAGTGCACTAGATTTACTTGAATAAGGAGCTAGAAAAAGTAGAACACAAGCAGCAAAGCTAATAGTTTGCTAACAAGGGCACAAACATCATAAAGTTTGCAAAAAAACTGCTCTTGAGAGATTACTCTTGAGTAATTATTCCATCAGTAGATTCCTGGTCTCAAGCTAGCAGTAGCGAAGGCACGTTACACGCCCCCTCCCTACCCACCCCCCAAAAAAGAGTCAGAACTGGCATGCAAAGGGTGAGTTTTATTTCCATAGATTTTTTTAAATTGCTGTTCAGAAGTTGTTTAGCAAGACGGCATATTTCTACCAGAATTCCTCAGGGCCCTGATCCTCACTAGAACACTGAGGACAACCAGTCTCAAATTGCAGGTAAGTGTGAACAAGCCCACGTTCTGGTCAGCGCAGAAAGATCCGCGCTGAAAATACGATTAAAAGTTGTTTCAACGGGCGTGGAGCATTTATTACAGCTGTTTACAGCTCCAACACCAAAGGAGAGCCTGCTAGTGCTGGCATCAGCTCTGGGCACGAAAAAACAAGCACCGCGGGCAGAGAATCTCACCAGGAGCAGAAGGGCCAAGTTGCTGCCGTTAGTCCGCCAGAAGGGCAGCGCCGGCACCTCCGCCCCCCGGCCCGGCCGGGAGCGCAGCCAACTTTTCCCGAGGCAGCCTGTAGCCGGGGACAGCGGGCGCAGGCCAGAGTTCCCAAGTCCTGGGGTCCTGAGAGAGTCTGGGTGAGCCGAGCCAGGGGTCGGGGACAACCTGCCCCGGGGCAACCTCTCCCACGCCCGCCTGCCCCCTCCCTGGTCCTACCCTCCAACTTAGCTCGAGGTGGCAGAGTCCTCCCCAGGGCCCTGTGGGGGAGGGCCCCCGCCCTGCCCACAAGGGGAGGGGGCCTCTGCCGCCGCCACCCCTACTAGGTGACTCACCTGGTGCCCGTCCTGGGAGTCTGGGGGGAATGTGGTTTCTCCCGGTTCCAGGGGCTGCTGCTGAGGTGACGGCTGCCCGAAGTGGCGGGTGATGGAACCGTCAGGGTCCAGGCCACCGGAGCTGCTGAGGGTCCCAGAGGTGCCAGGGGTGCCGGGGCCGCCAAGGCGGGACTCGGCTCCCCGTTCCCGCCGCAACTCAGAGCGCAACTCCAGGTAGCAGCACAACGTCAGCAGGTGGAGGGCCAGCGAGAGGCCAAAGAAACCCAGGAAGAGCCGGCAGCTGTTCCCTTCGCCCGCCCGGGCAGGGGCCCCGCGACAGCCGCAGCCCTGGCTCCCCCGCTCCCGCGGCGCTGCCGCGGGCAGAGGTTCCCTTCGCTCTACCTCGGGGTAGCCCATGGCCTCCGGAGACGCCCACTCTCTGAGGCCCGGGAGCCGCCGCGTCTGCCTCAGCGGTTCACGACCCCTGACAGGCGGCTACTGTCCTGCCATCGGCTGGGGGCTGCAGGGACCCGTTCCTGCGCTACGGGCGCTGGGCGGGACGGAGCAGGGAGCAGCCGCATGTGCAGCTCCACTCCGAGGGGTGGGAAAGGGAGGAGGAGGGGCGGGAGAGACGGGCGGCTGGCCCTCGGAGAGAATGAGGGAGGAGGCCCGGGCCGACCCGCCCCATCCCTCAAGCGGCTGCCGGGACACCCAACCACCGGGCCCGCCAAGCCTCGGCGCCCCGCCCCCGGCCGTTCCACTCAGGGCCTCCAGCCGCGGGGCGGGACCTGGGGGCGTGTGGGTTCGCCTCTGCCTGGCGGCCCCACCCAGCTCTTCCCGCTTGCCCGGTTCCAGTTGGTGACTGCCGCTGTCGTTCATCCCTGGACTCCGCCCCAATTTAACCCTGTAGCGCCAGTACAGGGGAGAGGGAAGAGAGGGAGGCTGAGAAGAATTTGGGAACCTTGGAGAGAAAGTAGAGCAAAGAAAAGGAGGCAGAAACTAGTATTAATAGAAATGTTTGCAATTAACTGCAGTTGTTAATAACATCATCCAGTACTTATCTGTTGCTTTCAATGTTCAAAGCATTTAACAGACGTTAAACTAATTAAAACAGCTCTGGGTTTGGAATGAAACCATGCCTGCTGTGTTTGCAATCCAATGGCGTGGCAAAAGAAAGGGAGACCCAGGAGCCTGAGAGCCAAAGGGAGTGAGAATGGGGTGGGACTGAGGCAGCCCCGCTCTTACAGTGAGTCTGGGGCCTCAATCTAAGTGACGGAGAAACCCACCTGTGTCAGGTGGGAATGAAGTGATGTTGCCCCACCCGGGGTAAAACAATCCCCTAGGATTTCTTGATATATTAATTAATTCAACAAATATGTATTGATCTCTTTGCAATGCAGAAACTGCTGTATGAGAGAATCCACAGCCAGTATAGTTTCTCTTCTTCCACCGCAGCAGGATTTTTGAGTGGAGAACACGTGCCTTCAATGAGAAAATGGGGAAACCGAGGACCAGAATGAGGTGGATTTTTACAAGGGTGGTCCACAGAATGGCCAGACAATATCGGCATCTCTATTTGCAGGCAACTGTTCTGGCCTCTCCACACCCCTCTCCTCTCCCGGGAGTAGTCCCTGGGGGAAGTTCAACAAGTCAGCCAAATGTTCCAGATGTACACTGCTTCAACTGCAGCATCTTCAACAGCTGCACCAATCAGAAAAGGGTTCACAGCAAAAAACAACAAAAAAAGTGGAAAATGTCGGAACAATAGACTCTGAAATGAAGGATGGAAAGGATTAATTGAGTCACAATTGACAAGACTCACTAGTCTGAGATTATAGAGAACTGAATGACCATAGCAGGAGAAGTATGTATGCTTCTTTGTCACCATGCACTCTCATTCCCATGTTATGAATAATTAGCAGTTTTTTTGACTTGAAATGGGTAGGCCTAAGACCTAGACTGGTGGGAAAGAAGAAAAATAGGGAGAAATGGAAAAGAAAACAAAAGAAGAGAAACAACAAAACAAAAACAAAGCATATGGTAGAGCGGTCAGTCCAGAGTGCAGAGAGGTCATAAACCTTAAATATATTAGCCACAGCCAACTTTTCTTCCAGACACTTTGTGAAGGGTCTCAGTGCTTCAGAAACGTCTTTGTGTCCCCTCATTGGCCCTTACCCATGAAATATAAAGTTTGCAAAGAATATCATCATCATGCAGATAAGAAAATAAAAAAGGGCGCTTAACAACTAATCTCAAATCCTGCTTGTTCAGTCTAGAAATTCTAGACTGGCTCTCTCTGGGTCACTCTGAGCAAGTCACTGTGCTTTTTGAGACCTTAGTTTCTCCAACTGTAAAACGAGGAATTTGAACTTGAACAGCTATAACATTGTGTTTTATCTGTGTTATCACTGGCTGTGTTGACTTGGTTGCATACACAGTTCAAAAAAGCTGTCCCTTCTTCCCCTAAAGTGAAAAGGGAACAAGTAACAGCCATCTCCTGGTAGTGGAGGTGGTGCTCAGGGGCCATACTGGTCTCAGCTTACCATGTTTCACCAGCCTTTCACCAGGATGACTGAGACTCTGAGTTGCACCATTGCCCTCAGAAGCCCTGCAAGTTGCATTTGACCTGGGACCTCACTTTGGTTCCCTGGAGGAAGAACATATGACTTCATATGCAGTAGAAATGTAGGAATGGGGCAATCCGGTGAGGAATGTATGTAGTTATTTTTTAAAAGTGTTTGAAGTGTTACTTCAGTTAGCTTCTATGCTTCCATAAGTACTCCATCCCCTACAGCACAGATATCAAAATGACAGTCTGCAGGCCACATTTAGCAAATGGATGTGTTGTGTTTGGTGCAATGTTGGCTAAAACTTTGAATTAAAAAAAAATACTTGCCAGCATTTAGAAATTAGGAGGTTTCACATTAAAAATCCAGATTTTCTGGGGCCGGCCCAGTGGCCTAATGATTAAGTTCGTGCGTGCTGCTTCAGCAGCCTGGGGTTCACAGGTTCAGATTCCGGGCGAGGACCTATGCACTGCTTATCAAGCCATCCATGCTGTGGTGGCATCCCACATATAAAATAGAGGAAGATGGGCATGGATGTTAGCCCAGGGCCAATCTTCCTCAGCAAAAAGAGGAGGATTGGCAACAGATGTTAGCTCAGGGCTAATCTTCCTCACTAAAAAAAAAAAAAAAAAATCCAGATTTCCTGCTGCTCTATTAAAAAATAAGAAAACCTGCCAACACTGGATCCACATTCCCATATGGCTACAGTCAGCTAGAACTGCCCCCTTGAAACAAGTGTGAGCAAGTTCTGCACAATCATCCCCATCTGCTTCCTCTAGTCTCCATTACTGTCCTTGTCACTCATTTACCTTATCTGTCTGGCCCCGAGCACTCTAGGAGACAAAATATCAGCTCCTTAGCATGACCTATAATCTGCCTGGCCAACCTCATCTTCTGCTGTCCTACAAGGAACCCATGCTACCACAATACTAAATTTGTTGACACTTCTAACACTTCTGTGTCTTTGCACAAACCGATTTCTTTGCCAGGAATGCCCTCACCTGGGAAACCTGATAAATTCTTCAAGAATCAAATCATGTGTTTTCTTGATGCGGCCCCACAACTCACTCCAAACAGGTTTTCCTTTATGCTTTCACTGCACCCTGAGCATATCTCAATGATATCACTTACCGCATTGTGTTTTTATTTTTTCACATCCTTTCTCACCACTAAACTGTGAGTTCCTTGATGGTAAAAACCATGTCCTTTCCATTTTGGCAGTCCTAGTACCTAGCATAGCAGCTACCACATAGTGGGCACCAGTATTGTTTGTCAAATGAATGGGGCATGAAGTCTGAGATGGTTAACTTAGACTACCTAGAATTCCAAAAAGGGAACTGGGCCAAGCGGATGCCTGTCAGTTCCACTTATGAAGCACCTACTGTGTGCAGAGCTGTATAACACATTATGGAAAGATATCAAGGAAATTGAACCAAATGGCAACTGTGCAATTATCCTCTTATTTGTCCTACTGTGGGAGCTGTGGAAAATCCAGAAAAGTAAATAATCCAGAAATTCAAATATAATTGGTTTGTAGTACTTCACTGGTTTTCTGGCGTATAAAATTTCCTTTCCTGATTTTGTATGTGTGGGCCTAATATTAAAGCAATATTAGTTGACAATACCTGAATAATAAATATTCAAAATGAGTTGACAACTTCTGGCAGAATATGATAAGGAGTTGGGCAGGGACTGGTTTAAAATACCTCTTAGCTCTGGTTAATCCACAGAACGAATCATAGATATCAGAGAGTTGACTCTCTGACCCACTTAGTGATAAGCAGATAGATAGTCAAGAGGAACATGGGCTTAGAACTTGGATCCTGGTTTGAATCCCAGTGTATTCACTTGCCAGCTGTGTGACCTAGGACAAGTAGTTTTTGCCTGTCTTTCAGAGCCTCAGTTTTCTCATCTGTGAAATGGAAATGACAACATATGCTTTGTAAGAAAGCTGTGCTTAAATGAGATGCTATATATCAAAGTGTCTGGCACAGCAGAGTAAATGTTAATCTTTGCTGTCTAAGAGACTTCCATCAAAAGGAGATGATGACTGGGCAAGAGAAACAATAGAAAAAATAAACAAATGGGACTACATCAAACTAAAAAGCTTCTGCACAGCAAAGGAAACCATCAACAAAAC